AGTACGAATTTTGGTACGATTGTCCAAGCACTGCCCCCAACCTCTTGTTCTTAAATACAATTTTCAGCCCCGAAGAGATATACAACAACGAGATCCGATTAACTTAAGTTAATATTAAATTTTAATAAAAAGCCGCTAATTTATTTGTACGAATTTATAGAAATTAGGAAAAAAATTCTTTAAATAAAAAAATATTTTTAAATTGAAAAGAAATTTTCAATTTAAAAATATTTTTTTTATTAATTTATCTTTTCTAAAAAAACTTTCCATTTTTAAAAATTCATTTAAAACCCCAATTTTGTACTAATAATTACCACCAAATCAATTTATTTTTAACAAAAACGTCATTTTAAGCATTTCATTATTTTTTAAACAAAGATTCTTTATATTGTTTTACTCTGTTGGATTTTTGGAAATTTAAAAATAAAAGTTTAAAAAAAATAAATTTAAATTGTTTTTAAGTTCCTTTTTATGCAAAAATAATTATCTTTTCCTTTATTAATTTTTGAAATATTTTTCAAAAGAAATCTGACTTTTTCAATAGAATAACTAGGGAATGGAGAAGGGATTTTTGATTGAAAAAATACTTTATTAGATTAAAAATAGGAACATAATTTTCTTAGATATTTAAAAATAAAAGAAACAATTTTGTTAAATATTTTTTGAATATTTTAAACTTTTAATTTAACAACAAAAATTATAAATTAAAATTTCATTAAATATTTCTAAATCATTAATTCGCTAATAATTTACTTGATAAATATTTATATATTATTTACCATTTAATTTTACTTTTTCAAATTTTTTTACAAAAACTACAAACTTTTCTTTAATTTTATTTAAAAAAATAAATAAATTTATTTATTTTTTAAAATCTAAAATATTTTTTTAATTTAAATTTTAAGCTTTTCAAATTATTTTGTGGTTTTTAATGCTAAAATAATTACTTATTTGGCCTTTTCTTCTTTTATTTTTATTTTTTAACAATTAATTCACCACAACAACTTCCACCAATTGCCATAAAAGGGTGCTTAATATTTAATTTAAAAAATGATTATTATTTTGGCTATTTTTCTTTTTAATTTTTATTCTTTTATTTTTGCTTCTGTTTCTTCTAATTCTGAACATTTAAAACAACAAAATTCATTAAATAATTTAAATGGGGGAAAAGTTAATGGAGAACGTAATGGAGGGGGAGTGTGCCTTGGTTTTACTGATGTTTTTATCGCTTTTGTTTTGGTTTGTTTAAATTTTAGTGAAGAGATTTTAATGAAAACAAAGAAAAATGTTAAAAATAGTTTATCCACCCTGATCCCTAAAAATTATTTAAATTTTAGTAAATTTTAGTACTCAAGGACTAAAGAAATACCTCAGAAAGTATTGTAAGGATGGTTCACCTAGAGCATTTAAAGCAATTAGGCGGGGGTTAAACGATGCAAAAGGATAAAAGAGAAAGTCAGTTAATCAACCCGGTCCCTAAATTAAAAGATAAAGTCGTCTTCGCCCCGTAGCTCAGTGGTAGAGCACCTGCATTTGTGTGAGCAAGGCCAAGTGATCTCTGTAAGCGTTGTCGCTCGGTTATTAGACTTTTGCCAAACTCTTTCTGTATTAATCTGACTTTGATTTTTGTAAATAATTTTTTCAATAAATTTTTAACTAGAAATGATTTGAATTAAAAAATCTTTTAAATCCATTCCAAATTCAAAAAAATTATTGTTTTATTTTTCAGATTATTTTAATTTTGGCAACGGTGCTGGGTAATATATTAGTTGTTCTTTCAGTTTGTTTATACAAAAGAATGCGAACATTTACCAATTTATTGCTTACTTCATTAGCTACCGCAGATTTACTTGTTGGGTTATTAATTATGCCACTTGCATTACTTGATTTATTACATGCACATAGCTGGCCTTTGGGGATTGTAACTTGTAGAATTTGGGCAACTTTTGATATTTTATTATGTACAGCATCAATTCTTAATTTGTGCATTATTTCTCTTGATAGGTAAAATTTTTAATCGAAATCTTGGGAAAAATAAAGTAGTAGCCTCAAATTCAAACCTTAATCCCACACTAAAATTTATTTGTAAAGAGAGTTCCCGATAATGATAGGAATCTATATCGTATTATCTCCCCTATACATATGTTCCTGTTGGGTTATTTACAAGATTATTTTTAATTTCTGACTGACTTAGCCATATGTATAATCACGAGGTATCTATCTCCAAAAAATAATCTTTCCAACTTTATCAAACCTTATTATTACTCCTTACTATTATTTCCATCAATTATCTGATTTCGATAAGAAGAAAAGACTATAGTTGTAAAATAAAGCCAAAACCTCAATATATTTTTAAAATTAATAATTTATTAGATATATGGCAATTACAAGCCCTCTAAGATATCCAAGAACAAGAAGTCGTTGGATGGCTTTTGCACTTTTATGTTTTGTTTGGGGAATGTCTTTAGTTGTTTGTTCACCTCCTTGGTTTATTGATGAATGGAGTATTTCTTTTGATTCAAAATCTTCTGTCATTTTTATTCCTCCAAAAAGAACAAAAACTCGAAGTCTTTCAGAAGGAATTGGAGTTGAAAATATTAATACAGCACATGTAATTAGTGGATATCAATGTGCTTATCCAATGTCTGTCTCTTATAGAATTTACAGTGCCTCTTGCAGTTTTTATATTCCTCTTATGGTAAAAATTAAATAATTTTTTTAAATTTTAATAATTCTAAAGTATTCATTATCCAAGTTTATAATAGAAGAATTAAATAAAAATACAAAAAATTAAGAATTATGTATTTAAATAAATTTTAAGGTTATGCTGTTTGTTTACTTTAAAATATTCCGTGTTGCCTCTGAACGTGAACGCCTTATTCGGGAAGGTATGGGTACTTGCCGATTAAGCAGAAGAGTTGAAAAAACACAAATGAAAGGCAGAAAAAGAAGTGCAACTACTAATTATACACACCGGTATTTAAATTTAAAAAATTGGATAAAGGAAATAATGAAAAAATGAAAAAAATTGGCCAAGTTCAGTTCTCACATGAAAAGCTAAACTATATTTTAATATTTTTAAAGTTTCTCTCATTTTATTATTTTCAGTTCCTCAGTACCTCGAATTAGAGGAGGAATTGCTCAACCAACAACAAAAACTGTTTTTCCAGGGCAATCAAAGGAGCAACAAAATATGTTTGTGTCCAAATAATTAAAAATATTAAAAAAATATTTTTAAGGTTAAATCATTGTTCTCCAGTAACATTAGCTAATATAAATAATATTAATATAAACAATAATCATATAATACCAACAAATCGGCCAGTTTCCTCTTGTGAACATTTTTATTTAAATCAAGAGGAACGACGTTCATCTTCTGCTGGACAAAATCTTTTAAATAACGAAAATACAACAGAAGGGGGTGATGGAGGAGATAAATTAAGTAGTTGTTGTTCTGCTGAAACAAGTTGTCCAACTTCAGCAAGGAATAGTGGAAAAGGTTTAACATCCAACAGTGGGCCTATAAATCGGACAGTGGCTGCGGCTGTAGATCGTGCAAAGGGTTCTGGAGGTTCAGACTCGTTCAGACGCAAAATTAAGTCAATGGAGTGTTTGGGCAGCGGGGTAAGGAATTTACTTAATTTTTATTTGAATCCAGAAAATGTTTAGTTGAGCTGTCCAAGGCTCTTTCAAGACTCTTCTTGAGGTTTCCGGTTTTTTGTTCTCGACTTTTTTGAGCATTTTAGAAAATTTATACTAGTATGTAGAATTAAAGATAGAAATCTCGCCTAGTTATAGAAAGAGAATTTTCCTTAACCTGGGCTCTATGTATCTCTATTTTAGAGAAATTGATGATTACTGGATTTAGCTCTTTAGGGACCTTTCTTTCACTATAAACTTAATCATTACATTTCTAGCAATACGACACCTTTGGAATCGAAGGAGGCCGTAAATCAAGTAAATACCGCAAAAACAGTGCAGATCCTGTAGATGATAACAGCCCGGAACGACGGGACAGTTTACAACAAAATCTACATCCACCCGATCGCCTTCTTCTTGCAAATGGCGCTCGCCAACCTCTTCGTCAACAAAATAGTTATGGTGTTAATATGAAAACTGACACTTTAATTGGACATACTCCACAAGTTGTTCCTCATTTTACAACAAAAAATGCAAACTTGAGAGGCTCAAAAGAGAAAATTGTTTATTTACGAGAGAGAAAAGCACTCAAAACTATTGGAATTGTAGTACTTGGTAAGAAACTGAAAACCTAAATGATTTATGATACTTTACCAAGTCAAAAAGTATTACTGATTTTTTGTTCCTCTCGGAAGGTTGCAGGTTCGATTCCTGACAAGTGAGTACACTTTTGCTAGCCCCTAATCATAAAGGATTTATTGAAAACTATATGTGTTATTCTTTCAGGTTTTATTCTTTGTTGGTGCCCATTCTTTGTTGTTTACATTTTGGAAGTATCTCCTTTGCAAAAACGGAGCAAGCTTTTCAGCAGACACGAATTCCAAGTGCTAGCAGAATTTTTTCTATGGCTTGGCTATTCAAATTCTGTGCTCAATCCAATAATTTATACAATGTATAACTCAGATTTCCGACGTTGTTTTCGTGATTTACTTGGTTTTGGTTGTTTTCAACAACACAGAAGAACAATGTCAGTTAAAAAGTTACATCAACAGTCTACCGTTTTTTAAAATCCCAGAAATTGTTCTAGTCATTATTTATTATTGTTTTTGTATAAAATTATTGATGAGTTAGTTTTGCTAAATTATAACGACATTAGTTAAAGTCAAAAATTTACGGATTATGAAAATAGGAAGGACCGAAAAAACCACAGACTAATTGCTTTAAATCAAATTATCAAATTCACTTGCAAAAATACTTAAAAACAATATAAAAATGACCACAGGAATCAAAAATAATCATAATATAATAATATTACTTAAATTAGAATTCGAATTTCAAACAAAGATTAGAAGGTACAGTTTTTATCCAGTAAAATCATCATGATCAAACAGTACTTGGTCATAGGATTGTGCACTTACCTAAAATAACAAAAACTTTAAATTAGTAAAAAGTAAACAAACAGTTCGTCCATCAAAATAACGTCCATCAATAGCTTTCCTTGCTTCATCTGCCTGTGTTGGTTCACAAAATCTGACAAAGATTTTAACTGTTTGTGTGTCTTCTTCTTGGACAATTACAACCTAGAAAATAAATTTATTGGGATCATATCTAGTTTTTAGTAAATCGTAGCAAATTCTAACGGGAAATATATTAAATGTAAGCTGTCAAATGACACACACCCAGCCGTATTACACCTATCCTCCGAGGGCCTATCCAGGGACAAATTTCAGAACCAATAAGGAGGTGTGCGCCTTCACTTCCCTGCTGTCCTCTATGAAAAATATTTTTAAATCAAACTATACTAACATCAGTAACAGTTCCATATTTTTGACATTCTTCTTTTATTTCATCTTCTAAGAATTCATCCACATCCTTTGGCTCAACCATATTCTTTAACAAAACTACTGACGACCGATTTGTTCTCATCAATTTTTGAATCAATAAATGCCTTGCATCATTTCCACGAATTTGTACATGCTCTTGAGAGGCCAAAGAAGCTTCTTCGCCTTTTTCTTCTCTTTGCGTTTGCAGCTGATCACTGAGGGCTCCTGCAACGTTCGCAGCTGCAATTTTTGTTGCTGTATTTAACTATAATTAAAAGGAGGGTAAATTAATATGAAAAAATATTTTAAATAGAAAACATTCTCAAACCTTCGGACCAGAAGAATATTTTGTCTTTTTGCCTTTTCCTTTCCTTCTATGAGCAACTTGTTTATTCTTGTCGCTTTTTTGTTTAGGTTTTGGAGCAACTTCAGTCTTTGTTTTTGCAATAGTTGTATCCTCGCGAATAGCCAAAGCTGTCCAAGCTTCTGGACCACCAATTGCCAATTGAGTTTCTGGTGGTTCTTCTAAAATATTTTCCAAATTATTTTTAAACGTTAAAATTAACCTTCATCATCTGAATCCTTCGAAGTATTTGGAACTGAAGGCAAAAAAGATGCCGGCTTACTTGGATCAAAAGAAACAAATTTAGATTTAACCTTCTCTCCAATTCGATCAAGAAAATCAAGTTTTGGCTTTTTTGCTTTTTGTTGTTCAGGTTGACTTTCAGCAGCTGTTTGTAGTAATTGAGGTGGGATAGCTAATTTAGGCGGTTCAAATGTGTCATCATTCAAAGCAGAATAAAATGAATCAACATTTATATCCTTTTGGGGTTGAGGTACATTAACATCTTCCTTGATCTGGGATGATTCAAGATTGTTTTTTGGTTGAGGTTCGTTTACTTCCTTCTTAACCTGGGGTAAATCTACTTCCATTTTAATTTGTGAAGTAGCTACCTGAACAAATTAATTATTATAATTATACAAAGAAAAACGACTGTTTCTTTGCTTCCAAGTTGTGGAATGACAAGTCCCGGCGCAGTTACTGCTGGAGTCGTAACACCAGAAGCATTTGATGAAGCAGACTTTGGTTGTGTAATTGATACTGCAGGTAAGGGTAGAACAATAGCCGGTGGTTGAACAGAACCAGCGAATCCACCAAAACCTCTCCGACGACCTGTAGATTGCGAACTTCCAGAGGATGTCGCAGATTTTTGTGCTGAAAATTTAAAATAAAACAATTTTTTACCAATGAAAAGGACCAGTTTGAGGCGCTGATGGTGGTGCTGGAAGGGCACGATTTGTCGTGGAAGTCCCATACGGTGGACTATTTGATATTCTTGGCGAAGATGACCTTCCTGAAGCTTCCTGTGCATGGATCCTTGCTGTAGCCTCAGCAGCAGCTAAAAATAATATTGATAAAAAACGTAGATAAAGTAACCAATGGCGGCAGCGGCCGGTAGTGCAGAAGTTGATCCACCAGAACTCAAGTAATGAAGGGCGTCAGGTGGAGTTACACAACGTCCTACCTTTAAGATTTGACCTCCTAAATCGAAGCCATTCATCCCCTCTACTGCTTCCTTGACAGATGCACTAGTTTTGAAGTCAATATAACCAAATCCCCTAAAAATTTTTAGAAAAATTTTTAATGTAAAAAACCTGTGACGCTTCAAGATTGGGTGTTTAGCTAGTTGGCATTTAGTTATTTCCCCAAAAGCCATAAAAACACTTCGCAAGTCTTGTTCAGTTATATCTGGATGAACAGATGCAACAAAAACTCTGTTGTATTGCCGGGCTTCTGTCATAACCATATCAATTATGGGCTGTGCTTGAGGGGTGGAATCTTGACGTCCGACCTGGCAATAAGTATGGAAATAAAGTCTTGATTAAAAATGTCAATACCGGCATAACTTTGATAGTTCTACCACCCAGAAATTTTCCATTCATTGCATCAATTGCCTGAAATTACCACAATTTATAAAATTAATAAGGACAATCCTCAAAAAATGCACTGTGAAAACTCTCCTTATGCATGAAAATAGGGTAATGGGAATAATCGAACGGCTGAATGAATCTGGTGTTAATTTCATCATGCCTTGTAGTCAAGCTGAAAATAAAAAAAGAGCAAGAAAGCAAATTAATTTACTTAAAGCCGGCAGATAAACGCTGAAGATGAGCCAATTTTGTGAGAGTTTTCAATGCGTGTACTTTATTGAGGATTGCCTTTTTACTAAACATACAAGAAAAGCAGCTTCCGGTACTTCGTACTCTATAAAGCAAAATCCTTTGTGATTCTACAAAATAAGTGAAATTAAATTCATGAGAATTTTTAAATAAACCCGAAAAGAGACTTCAAAATTTCACGTTGGAATTTTCAAAATTATCAAGCTCTATAAAAAGTTACCCCAGTCGTTGGATCAATAGACATATTAACATTTTTGATAGGTCCATAAATGCCAAAAACAGTGCGAATTTGATCTTCGGATACATCAAAATTGACTGACCCAATATAAATTCTGGACATTAGAGCCAATGCTTGAGAGTAAAGGGCGACTTTTTGTTGCTAAAAAATGTGCTTTGCATTTAGTTAAATTAATTCATAAGCATAAAATAAAAAATAGAAAATATAGATGTTTAAATTGACCTGTTGTTGATGTGCCATTCTTTGCTTTTCCATAACAAACCTAATGGACTGATCAATTGCATATTTCTTGGCCCTTTCCAGATCAATAATTTGAAAAGAACGTAGTTTATTTAAACCTAAACCGACAATTCCAGCCTCTTTTTTCGCTCCTGGTCCGACAAAAACCTAAAATGATAGAATTAATAAAAAATAGAATAAAAATCAAAAACCTTTCCATCCTGTTCAGTTGTAGAGTTTGTAGAACCATTTGTAATAACATTTTCATTTTTTACTGCTAAATTCATTCTAAAAAATAAAAGAAATTTTCAGGCTGACGTGAAATAGATGAATCAAAAAAAGTAATTATAAGTCTAGTGCTAGACTCTTTCGTCCCATACCGCTAAAAAATCAATTAAAATACTAAATACTATTTCTTAAAAACTCTCGCCGTCTTTCACGTCCACTAGAGTCTAATTAATGTTAGCTGATTCATTTGGAAACTTTCTGTTTTTTGGCGAGACATTTTCTTCTTTCACTTAAGATTAGAATCAGCAACCATGTTGTGATTAAAATTAATCTTTGCTCTCATTTTTCGCATTTTCCTGCTTTTAATTTCAAGATTTAGCCATTTTTCTTTCATTTTTTCATTTTTTAGCCTTCATTATGTCTTTCAAAAATACACCAATTAATGTGGATGTTGGACTTGCTGACTTGTATAAAAAACTTGCACAAATGAATATGAAGTTTCCAACAACTCGACCTGCTACATTGTCTGAAAAATATTGGAATGATCTAAACCAGCTTTACATGGCAGGAATAATTACCTAAATTCTGAAATTATTTAATTCATTCAGGATGCTATTTCATATTTGCAAATGGAATTTAATGCTACTCCAGAGATTGAACAATACATTGAAAAATTTCAACATTTTGTGCATTTGTTCTTTGCAAATGAAAAGGTTTTATTAATTTTTGATAATAAAAAAAATTAATTTTCCAGATCGATCTTGAAGAAAAATTTATGGAGAATGCAACTGTGGTGTGAGTATTTCTATTTAAATTAAATTTATTCCGGTAATATTGAACCTGGCAGACCCCATTTTTTCCTCCCCAAGTTTTTTCCTATATTCACAGAATGGTCAGACTTCTTCCCTTCTTTCATCCCAATTTTCCTTTCTTCCATCAAGGGGAAATAAAAATTCCTTTTGATTGTTTTTAAGCAAAATATAGGAAGGTAATTGGAATGGAAGAAAGGAAAAAGTCTGACCATTCTGTGGATATATAGGAAAAAGTTGGGGAAGAAAAAATGGGGTCTGTCAGGTTCAATATTACCTTTATTCCTTTTATCATTTTAGATATATCGAACATCGTCGTCCACCAGCAATTAACTCAAAAGGTGTTAAACAAAAACACACTTCTTCCTATGGAGTCTACAAATTTAAATTGTCAGAAAGTACAATGGATGAATTAGTTAGTTATGCTAAAGTTGTTATTGATGGTCATTTGGTAAGTTTACTCTTTGTTTTTAAAATTATTTTTTTTATTTAGGGTGCTATAACTTTCATCAACAAGGATGACAGGACGATAGATGTTACTTTTGAGGATAATAAAGGCCAAATTCTTTTTGATCAACGCCAAAAATATACAATTAATATCGAATTTAATGACCGTCAGTATAGATCTTTTTTGCGTTCATTGGAGCTTCTTAAGAGTGGAAGGGCAAGATTTACTATTTTTCCAGACGCAGGAAATTTGGTATTTTTATATTTATGCATTATATTTTAGACAGTAATTTTCCTAGTTTTAATCTAAAATATTTTCTTTAAACAATTTAAATTCCTTTTAGATCTCTTATGAGGATTATCAAAAAGAATTTAATTATTACTTTGAGAAAAAGGTATCCAAAAAAGTCTGCAGTCAAGTAGAAAATAAATTCGACAAAATGCAAAATCAGGCAATTTATTCCATTGTTAGAGGAGTACATGGAACTGTTCCTTTTGTATTATGGGGGCCACCAGGGACTGGCAAGACTGTTACAATCATTGAATGGTTTTTAGATAATCTTTTCTGAAATCTTTCTTACCTTTTTTAGTATTAAACAATTATTGGAAAAGAATCCGGCAAATCGAATTCTAATTTGTACTCCTTCAAATATGGCAGCCGATTTAATTGCTAGACGGATTTATCAGATGGGTATACTTCCGGCAACTCAAATGAGACGCTATTACAGCCTTGGCAAAAATGTTAATGATCGAGACAAGGATTTGGACAAAATAATTAAAATCGAAAAGTTTGTTTTTTTCTCTTTTTTCGACTTTTATTTATCGAAATTTCAGTTGCGCTTTGTATGGAATAACTGATGATCGTTTTGGTTTGGATTCGTACAAGGAAATTATTCAACTAAACATTCGTTTAATTTTTTCAACGCTTGCTTGCTCTGCTTATCTAGAAGAAAATATAACTGAACCAGATTTCTTTTCGTTAGCTTTACAAATTTAATAAAAGTTTGGGCCATATCTCTTGCTTTCATCCCCTTCCCAAAATTTGAAATAGACCACATGCCCCCCCCCTCTCTGGAAAAAATTCGGGTTGCGGGCCTGACCAGGGGACAAATTTCAATTCCTTTATAACTAACAGCATTTCTATTATTATATAATATTTTAGTCATATATTTATCGACGAGGCCAGTCAATCCTTTGAGCCTGAAACATTAATTCCAATAACGCGATTTGCTACCGAAAATACTCGAGTTATACTTTGCGGTGATTATCAGCAATTGGGTAATAAATTATTTTAATATTTTTATTTATTTTTATAATTACTAGGTGCTATTTGTAAGCCTTATTTTTTGAAAGTACATAAGCAAACATGTTGTTCTCTAATGGAACGATTATTGACAACAGCAATTAAACAAAGGGTTTATACTGACGGGTGAGTTTAATTTTTGATATTTCTTTAAATTTTTCTTTATTTAAAAAAATTTTAAGGCGTACTTTCTGTAAACTAAATGAAAGCTACAGATGCCATCCAAGCATTATTGAATTTTCTTCAAACAATTTTTATTCTGGCGAATTAATGGCTGTTAGAGGAGAAGAAAGAACAGGATTCTGTCAATGGAGATATTTACCACGCAAAAATTTTCCGATAATTCTTCATGTTGTTTCTAAGGGTGCTGAAGTTCGTCAAGCAGACGGTGGGCGATCATTTCACAATTTGGAAGAAGTTGATGTTGTTATAAAATATATTGATTTGATCAAAAAAACAATGGGCGATATTAAAGATTCTGATATTGGGGTTATCAGTCCTTATAAACAACAGGTGAGTTCTTCAAATAAATTAGGAATTCAAAAAAATATTTTAGACCTCAAAAATTCGTGAATTACTCTGCCGACGTAAGGATATTACAGTTGATTCTGTCGAATGCTTTCAAGGCTCTGAACGTAGAGTTATAATAATTAGTTTGTCAAGATCAGAACAGATGGGATTTCTTTCAGAATATAAGGTATTGTTTTTAGTTTATTTCTTTACAATCCTATACTTAATGTTAAAAATTTTTAGAGAATTAATACTTCATTTACTCGAGCCAAGGAATTATTGATTGTTATTGTTTCACAGGCTTTTATTAATGTTTTGGATCCGCATAATAAAAAGAATTATTGGAAAAAGTTTTGCATTTTTTGAAATTTTAAAATTAATTTTCTATCAGATTTATTCATTTTTGTATTGAAAATGATGCCGTAACAATTGATAAATTTGCTGGAGAAGATGGACGTGAAATCGATGCTGAGGAGATGGATAACTTTAAGAAAACAATCATGGATAGTATTAATTCTGATTTAACCGCCAAAGTTGAACGACCTGGACCTCGACTTAAACAATCTGTCCCATCTCAATCGAATTTGGAGGATGATTTGAATGATTTAACTACTACAAATAAATGTACGATATATCCTTTTAAATTCAACTAAAAATTTTATATTTAAGCAAGTCCACCCCGCAAATTACATGGAGTACACCCAACGCCACTCTTCAAAACGCGTAATGATGTCACTGAAAATAAACCAAAAGAATCAAACAAATCTAATAATAAATCAAAAGAAAGTAAAAATAATGATGAAAGTAAAGAGTGGCTTTCTGATGATGATGAAGCTGGAACAGAATTTTGGGCAAAACATTTTGCTTCTTGCAAGCCTTCTAATCTTCGACCTTATTTAAGTAATGGATTTAACGATGATATTATTTCTGATGACGAAGATGAACCAAAAATGTCGAATTCTGTCAGTTCTGAATCCAACAATAGAAGTGACTTTAGAAAACCAAAAAGTGTACAAAAATTGGAAAAGAAGCACCAAGCTGTTTTAATGCAAGAAGCTCAAAAGTCTAATAAACAAGAAAAAACTGCAAATGAAGGACAGAAAGTTAATAAACGTCTTGTTCCAGTTCTAAATACCAGGTCAGTTTTTAAATTTTATATTATTTTATTCATACAGTCGGAGCTCAATTTTTGTAGTTACTGTCTGTAGAACTATATTTTTAGGTGAAATGACTTTATTTTTATTTTTTTACCTTATTTATTTAAATAAAGCTCTACAAAAATGTCCATGCAAAAACGTCATTCTGTTGCAAGCATTCTCACTGATGTAAGTTTGATAACTGATTCAGAAGCAAGTCAATATTGCATAAAGCTGATAAAATATTGCCAAGAGAATGACCTTGACGAAAGAATTTATTCAGTTGATGAATTGGCAGATATTTTACTTAAAACACATTTTAATGCGCTCAAACAACTAAAAATTGATACATTTTTAACTTCATAATTAGGGTTGCCAAAATGGACCGACTCGGACCGAAAGATCGAGTCAGGTCTCGATGTTTGGCCCGAAAAAGTCTCGTACCGGCCCGACTCGATAAAGTTAGGCCCGAAAAAGACTCGTAACGGCCCGACTCGATAAAGTTAGGCCCGAAAGTGACTCGTACCGGCCCGACTCGATAAAAACAGGCCCGAAAAAAATTGTCTCGGAAAATGTCGGCCCGACTCGAACAAGACTCGATAATATTTTTACCAGATTTGTGGACAAATATGGGAGAAATCTGGCTCCTTGACATTCCAAAATTCGAAAAATTTTCGCCTGCGGCGCTGAAAAAGGAAGAAATTTGGTCTTTAGCCTTCCGAATATCTCAAAATTTTTGCCTGCGGCGCTGAAATGAAGAATTTTTAGCTCCATACTTTGCTTCACATCTCGAACTTACTGGCTTTAATCGATAAGCTGGATTACTGGGATTTATAGGATATATTCCGCGGGATCCCATCATCATTTGAACTTTTTAAACTCAATCAGTTTTGAAAGTCCACAATTTTCCGCAGTCCGCAATTTTATCTTTAAAATACGCAGTCGTAATCTTCAGTCCACAAGTCAAAAACACACAATCTTACGCAATCCGCAGTCCACCATCCGGGATATCCACCATCCGGGATATAAGTCTTTTTTCTTTTAAAAAAAGACTCGAAAATGTCTCGATGCCCGACTCGATAAAGTCAGGCCCGAAAGTGACTCGTTCCGGCCCGACTCGATAAAGTTAGGCCCGAAAAAGACTCGAATCGGCCCGACTCGATAAAGTAAGGCCCGAAAAAGACTCGTACCGGCCCGACTCGATAAAAACAAGCCCGAAAAAAAATGCCTCGACCGTCGGCCCGACTCGAAAACGGCAACCCTATTCATAATAATTTATTTCTAATATAATTTCTAATATAAATATTTAATTTTTATCATTTAGCAAAAAATTCGTTATCGAATTCATTGAGAAAATTTTTATTCAATAACTCTCACCATATTCTAGGCACCACACCTTATTTGGAAGTAAAAAATTTCAACCCTAAAAATGAAATTGAGGTCCGACTGTTTGAATTTTGCTTTTGTTTTTATCCTTTCGTTTTTCTAATATCCTCGAACTTTTTAGTTCACGCCCGATGCGAAGTCCTACAACTGTTGCGGAACAAATTAAATTTCGAGGAAATATTCAAAAGATGTCAAAATCTCCAGAGCCTTTTACTGTTGGTTGTATGGATCTCCCACCCAGTGGCCATCCAGATCTTTGTGCGGGTGTAGGCGTTGATTTAGCTTCAATGTATTTAGATGAACAACGGGTTAGGGATATTGGTTCAAATATATCAAGTGAACAAACGCCTAAGAAGAAGAGTTGCTCTATTATGTAAAAATAAAATGTTGTGAAACTCGTTTTTAAAATTTGCATTTTAATTTTAATACCAAAAAATTGTCTCAATTTTATCCTTAAACTGTGAACCAACTTATCTACATTACCAATTTTAAACGTTCACCCAAAATATTTCATCTGCCATTCCAGGATTTAAGTACCAATATAGTTAATCTCGTTATATGTGTTTGGAGACGAAAAATCATACACTATGGTTAAGTGGGTGTTTGTGCTAAATATGTGTTTTCCTCTGCCCCCAACCCTTTGTTAATCACTACACTAAACTGATTTTTATACATTAGTGATATCATAACGAGATTGGACTACATTATAATTTATTAAATGTCTTGAATTGTTTAATTTAATAGTCCTTTATTACATTTTTGTGTAAATTTATCAAGTTAAATGTTATACTAATTCCGATTTAATTTATTATGTGATATTTAGATTAGGTGAAAATCTTCACATGAAAAAATAAGCTTTGAAGACCCTCGAGTTTATAATATTTAAAATTTTGTCTCTAAAATATTTTTGCAGAAATAATAATTTTTATTTAGAATATTTTTAAAGTTATTTACTTAAAATAATAAGTTTACCTTCTTCTATTTTTATTTCCGATTAATGCACAATTTGTGCTGTGTTTTTTTTCTAATAAAATTTAAAATCGGAAATAGAAATAAAAAATGTAAAAGAAGAAAACAAAATTCCTTTGAGACAATAAAATAAAAATATTTTTTGTTCTTCGTTGAAAATGAAAGATCTTTCATCATTTTGTCACACAATCAAAATGTAAAGATTTTTATTCAATTGAATAAAAGCGGATAACGGGGGTGACATTCTTTTTCACAATCCCCAATGGACGGAAAAGGAAGTCACAAAAATATTGCTTGACAACGAAATGTTTAACAAAATAAATTGAAGTGTTCGCTTAATGAAGAGAAAATCAAATTGATGCATTTTAAAGTTTTCTCTTTTTTTTTGTTTTAAAAGATTTTTTTATATTATTTGGATACTTGGAATACTCGACGTGATTTTTAAGGACAATGAATGGAAAATAAATTAACGAGAATTCTCTCATTTCTTTTTTAAAAATTTAAAATTGAATTTATAACAGGTGAATATACCTAGTACATTTTTAATGTATTTTGATAAATTATTTAAACATAAATTGAAGAATATCTGACATTTTAATTTAGACAAGTGTTTCACATTTATGTAAATTTATGTAAAATACCCTAAGTATAGTTTTATTTTTTCAGTACAATTTCTATTTTGAGTGTTAATGGAAAAATTATTTTATATTATTCTTTGATAAGATTATTTTTTGATAAATCATACACATTAAAATTCGTTTCCGATAAATTATTAAAATCGTAAATAAAAAATTTTAATAATAAAAAGAGATCATATATATCCAAGTTCATAAACAAATTATGAGATTATAATATTATAAAGACTAGAAATTGTTACAATTTTTGATTTAACTTTGTAAATTTTTATATTTTAACTCTTCATTCTTTTAAAGAAATGCTGCCATTGGGCGAGGTCCATAACCAAAAGAATCAAAACGCTTGGCGGGCAAACTAAAAATTAATTTTAAAATATTTTTTCGTTTAAATTAATTAAAACGAGCGGTAAGGGGCCGCTGCGCGGCCCCTTACCGCTCTTTATAAGTATTCAAAGTTGTAATTTATTTGCTGCAAAGTGCGTGAAAAGAACAAACGATTTTATTGCTCTGTTTAGAGCTTATCTTATGTTTAAAAGAGGTTCGCGTGTAAATAATGTATTTTGAGAACCTAGGGGTTTTGAGGGAAGGAGGTTTCACTAATTTGGATATAGTATAGTATACCGGTGGAAAGGATTCGATATAAGACCCATACCATTATTTTCGGCTCAGCGTGCAAAGACGAACGACTTTTTTCCGGTGATGCCTGTGGACCGAGATATAGGTCTCCGAAAATCGGCAAACCATAGTGGGGATAAGCACAATTTTATGGTGAAAAATTCTATTTATTGAATGATAGCCCATTCGTAAGAGATCCTCGAGCTGAATCGAATGACACCAAAATCAGCTCGAGATCTTAATTCTGAGCCAAGATAAAGAGGCTCAAAATGGTCAACGTGTACTTATGGGCGTCGGCGAGGCGCTTGTGCAAAACCCCGCGCTTCGCGCGGGGTTTTGCGGCACGCGCCTCGCAGGGAGTCTACGGTCGCTGGGTTCTGGGCTCGTAACTTAATCCTATTTCTTTTTACCTATTCTCAGCTTTGAATGCCGACCTACCCTCAGTAGCAACACAAAAACTTATTAAACGAATGTTAAGTTGTTCATAATTTTGTTCAGAATCATCTTATCGTGCTGATTTTGATGTCATTTAACTCAACCCGTCGAGCTCTTTTAAATGAGCTATCATTTGTACTATTGAATTTTTTATCCAAAATTCGCCTCTCTAGTTGTTTGGATTTGTGGATTTTATTGTCTAATTTTATTTTATCCATCCCTTTTTTCTTTGATCAAGACATTTAATATGCTTGCTGTCTTGGTAGTTTTATCTGCCTTGATAGTTTTACTCTGCCTTTATAGTTTAATAAGATCAAGAAGGCTTTATGGATATATTAGGAAGAATCCCCTGATATCATTCGTTATCTTTTGTTTGGCTAAAGTACACTTTACCGGGCGATTTTAGATTTTTATGATTTATATGTCAATCGAAAGAGCTTGGCGAGCTAAGTCGAATGACACTAAAATTATCCCGCGGACTCAACTATGAACCGAGATATGGGTCCCCAAAAATCGAAAAACCATAGGGGGGACCAAGCACTTTTTTGGGGGTAAAAAATTCGAATATGCAAATTATACCTCATTCGAAAGAGCTCGTCGAGCTGAGTCGAAAAACACCAAAATCAACGAAATCCGACTTAATTTGACAAAGTTATGATCTTTTATTTTAGCTCCTTACCTATGGCATCTGTGGAGATTTTTGCTGCTACGGAGGCCCCAAATACGTCCAGAGCAAGGGAGATAGGAATAGGTTTATGTTACGAGCCCAGACCCAGCGCCCGTAGACTCCCCGCGAGGCGCGTGCCGCAAAACCCCGCGCGAAGCGCGGGGTTTTGCACAAGCGCCTCGCCGACGACCCATAGGTTTAGGTTTTTTGTTTTTCGTCATAACTTTGTCTAATCTTGTCGAATCACGGTGATTTTGGTGTCATTCGACTCAGCTCGACGAGCTCTTTCGAATGAGGTATAATTTGCATATTCGAATTTTTTTCCCCCAAAAAAGTACTTGGTCCCCCCTATGGTTTTTCGATTTTTGGGGACCCATATCTCGGTCCATAGTTGAGTCCGCGGGCTAATTTTGGTGTCATTCGACTCAGCTCTCCGAGCTCTTTCGATTGACATATAAATCATAAAAATCTAAAATCGCCCGGTAAAGTGTACTTAGGCCTTTTGTTTTCTCTATAAGTCCTGTTATTCACTCCAAATCCCTAAATATCCACGATATCAATATGCCCGGAAATTTTATAACACAAAAACGATATGGCACTCGTTGTTATTCTGTGATTCTTGGTTGAAAAGGTTGCAAGAAAATGATAGCCATTTGATT